TTTCCCGCAATTACACAAAGTATGATTCCAGAACAAGAACCACATATAAAACTGGGACACTGAAGATCATACATCCTAAAATGATGACAAGAAAAAGAAAACAATATTGATCAGTTAAACATAAGCCACAACGCCCAATCCACTACCATAGCATAAGAAAGAGTACAAATACAATTGAATATAAAGTTGCAATTAAAGATAACATTTAATTTCTTTAAGAAACATGGAAACACTGAAACACTCTGAAAATCCACTTTAATAAAACCAAACAACAAAAATAATCATTGTTCCTCTAAATGTCAAAAAAAAGTGTCATCCATGCAAACACAAAACAAATATTCACATATTGCCCATCTGCATCATAAGAGAAAAAAAAGCAAGTAGAGCAATCAGGCATCTACATAACACAAAAATACATCAACACATCGCATCATATGTCAAGAATTACAAGTTTGATACCAATGTAACATACAAAAATCAAGAAATCAGGACACTATCACAAACCATAAAAGAGTACACTGCAAGACATTGAATAAATTTGCCAAATTCTAGGAAAAACCAGAATAGCAAATTAAAAATAGCCAACAAAATCCAACCATGAACTACTCATCATGTGCAAGAGTAATACAAATATATAACCAGAAAAAAATTTCACAAAAAAAGATTTCAATTCAATAATACCTACAGAATCAAACGATTACAAGCGACCCAGCAAAATATTTGCTTACAATGATTACCATTAAGTACTTTATTAATGACTTACTTTGTATGTAAAGTCTAAAAAAAATCAAAATAAAGAAACAAACAAACATAAAACAGTTACTTTTTCTTTTTTTTTCCTTTTTTTGTGCACACGATATCAAATATCTATTTTTAGACAAACAGAAAATAAACTAGTATTTGTGTGTGAAGACTATTATTTGACGCACAATAAAACAGCTAAGCAGTGGTGTAGTGAGTGGAGCATGCAACTGGCAGACGGAAGGTATTGAGTTCAACCCCAGTCTGTGTCGACTTTTTATTTATTTTTTTTTTTTTTTTTCATAAATATTCTATAAATAACTCTACTAAAAAAACAACTTATTTCCAACCAAATAATATTGACTTACTTTTGGAACATCTCAAACAAAATTAAGTACTTTTTCTAGTAGAATTGTAAGCACTTTACTCGATGAATTCTGGTGATTTTTCTAGTGAATTTGTAAGCAAATATTTTGCTGGGGAGTTCTTGAAATAGCTTCATTCTATATGTATTAGCAGAAAAATCAAATATTCTCAAGGAAATAGGCAACTTATTATAAGTTCGCGCCACTCTAACACAAAATGAACGTTCCAATATCGGAGTCAGTTTAGGTATTTTCAGCTGTCTACTCCTAGTAGATCTACAGAATTGAAACAAACTAATTAAATATCCTGGAGTCTGCAATTTATATGATTTATAAAAGTGTAACAAATTTCTATATTTTGTAAATTCCATAAAGGAAAACCCCAAGAAATCTGAGACATAAGACGAAACATGCTGTGACATTCTAAGGGAATATAGGTACCTAATAGGGTGATCGACTCGATTTTTCAACCGGTTTTAAAACCGGTTTTTTCTGCTTTACCAGTGTCGGTTTTTTCTTAATGTTGATTTTTCGAATATCGAATAACCCGGTTTTTTCACTTTTTAAAAACCGGTTTCGAATACTTTTATTTGCTTTGTATTCAAAGATTATTTAAATGAAATTTTTAAGTAAATAATAATACAGCCCGCCTAAATTTTAAAAATATTCGAGTCGAGGAGCTAGCGTATATTTTTCTAAAGCTCCTTTAGTTAAACTTTTTTGATTTTCCTAATTAATTAAAAAAAATTTATTTGTAAAATTGATAACTATTTGATAAAATTTTATCAATCTTAAGATTATATTCCAATTACAATAATTAATTTACGGCTGAAATTTTATGGAAGTGTTGGAATGCCTATGCAAATTTCCTAAACAGGGCTTTTAAAATAAGCTATGATTACCTTATGTTTAACAGAAGTGTCCCACTTTTTTCCTAATTTTTTTATATTAAAGAAATAATGTAAATCAGACGACTAGATCTAAAGTTATAATCTTTTAAACCGTTAAAAATCATTTCGGGCCATGTTTTATTAATCAAATTTAAACATAAACATTAAGTTTTTCAAATTAAAATATGTTTTTTATTTATAATGAAAAACCGGTTAACCGGTTTTTTCTGAATTTGAAAAATATCAACCGGTTTTTTTTAAATGTCAACTATTCGAACTATTCGAAAACCGGTTTTTGGAAAATGTCGAATAATCGATCACCCTAGTACCTAATAACTCGATTAAAAGCTAACCTAAGTTTTCTTATGACAGCCAAAGGTACCAGAAAATACCTCCAAGGCATACAAAAATATAGGCATTATCAGTGCATGAACAACTCTCTTTCTAACATGAAAAAGCAACAACAAATCTAAGCTATATAATTTACGTAAAGTAAAATTAACCCTAGAAATAACAGTGTTAACATGACCCTCAAAGCTCAAACCAGTATCAATAATTACACCGAGACACTTAAGTCTATCAACAAACTCTATCATTATACCATCAAAGTTAACTGAAAAATTGTAACCACTACACTTACCGAAAAACATTGCCTTAGTCTTATCCGTATTTATAGAAAGACGATTATCAGTAACCCAATTCAAAAGCAGTCCAACAGTAAAGTTAATCCTACATTGCAAAACAACAGAAAATACAGCTTCTCCTTTGAACAGCAGCTGAACATCATCCGCAAATGAAAATGGAAGACACATATTGCTAGAAACCACACTGAAAAGATCATTCATAAACATAATGAAAAGTAGCGGACCAAGAACAGATCCCTGCGGAACCCCACTATAAACTGGCAGCATTCCAGAACAACGACTATTACAATAAACATACTGCATTCTATTAGATAGATAAGAATATATTAGCCTACAAGCTGATCTGGAGAAACCATAATATCTATGCAACTTATTAATTAAAAGCAAATGATTTACTCTATCAAAGGCTATAGCAAAATCCAAAGATAATAAAACACAAATACCTTTTCCAGAAAGATTACTCCTAATGTTGTCAGTTAAACCAAGAAGCAAGGATGTTGTACTTCTATTGCACCTAAAACCCGATTGGCAATCATGAAGCAGTTGATTTTCATCAATATGTTGAACAAGTTGAATCTTCATTAGATGCTCAACCATCTTTGATAAGATAGGCAATAATGATATAGGTCTAAATTCATCACGACCAATTAAAACACTGTTCTTCCTTATAGGAATAACCTTAGCAATTTTCCATAACAATGGAAAAGTTGAAGTAGTTAAAATCATATTAACTAAATGTAATATATGATTACCAACTAATGGCATTAAAAGTCTAAGAAACTTGAGCGTAAAACAATCATAACCAACAGCAGTTGACTTTATCAGATCAAAGGCATCAAACATTTCATAAATATCTACAGAACGAAAAGAAAATCCATCATATGAAATACCGGAAAAATCTACAAAGCCATTAGAATCAACAGACTGATTAGAGGAGAAAGCATCGTTTAAATCATCAGGATCAACATCATTATACTTATCAGTCCCATCCACAACCCCATTCCTATTCAAAATATACCAAATCTTCTTACTTTTTACGCACTTTCTCCCAATCTAATAATGTTTTTAAACTAAAACTGTTATAATTTTTTAATTCTGGAATTTAATTTTTTTCCATAATTACTATTTAAAGGAATCGGTTGCTGAGTGGACCATTTTCCATCTCAATGTTTATACCCTACACCACTTTAGTGGGGAGGGTATATTGGATTTGTGCTGATGTTTGTAACATATAAAAATATAATACCAATCGGCTTAGAATCGTTTTCTGAGTCGATTAAGCTATGTCCGTCCGTCCGTCCGTCCGTCCGTCCGTCTGGCTGGCTGGCTGGCTGGCTGTCCATGTAAACCTTGTGCGCAAGCTACAGGTCGCAATTTTCGAGATAATTGGATGAAATTTGGCATGCACGTTTTATTTGACCCAAGGACGAAGCCTATTGAAAATGGTTAAAATCGGTCCATTATTTCACCTAGCCCCCATAGAACAGAACCCCCCGAAAAGGGCTTCTGAGCTCATAATTATGTTAAATATACAGATATATCGATAAAATACGGCACAACTAAGTTTTATAGAAGTCTTGATAACCCTGCCAAATTTCATAAAGATCGGGCCCCATTTGACCCTAGCTCCCATACAAAGTCCCCTTCAGAAAATTACTTGAATGTCCCAAATTAACTTATAAACACAAATATCGCGATGAAATTCAGCACAATTAAATATTATGTAAATATAAATATGTTCACAAAATTTTATCGGGCTTGGTCCATATTTGCCCCTAGCCCCCATATAAAGCCTCTTTCAGAAAATTGGTTTTTCATCCATAAATTGCTTAAATGTATCGGAACAAGGGAATATTGAAGATAAATGCGATATTATGAAAAATAAATCACATTTAATATTCATAACTGGTGTAGGGTATCATATGGTCGGCCACGCCCGACTATACTTTCTTACTTGTTTTAAAATTGATATGGCTGGGGAGCCAAGTGAAGGTTAAATTGATATGAGAATCTGAATATTCTATAGAAGGGACTTAATATAAATATTTCTATGTTGAATTTAAATTTGTATTGAAATATGTAGATTTGTATATTTTATTTATATATTATAGTATTTATATATGTATGTATATATTTTTTATATGAGCTCAGGCGTTATACATATATGTGTAATGTCAATATTTTGGCCTTTGTAGGCTTTATGTTTTCAATTTCTTTATTCCAATAACCTAGCCTATATAGGCCATAATTACTACTATAAAAAGTTTTCAAATTTTTTTTGTTATACTAAAATATAAAATACATAGCCAGAACTCAAATTCTTTCAATTCCACTTTTAATTTAAAGTTATAAGTTTTAAAGTTAGTCAGAGAAAAACAAACTCAACCGGTTCCAGAAATATTTAGAGGTGTGTACAGAAATAACTAACCAAGTTTAAAAAAAGTAACATACTCCTGACAACCTTTTATTCGGTGAGAAAAAACTATAAAGAAAGAAATTATCCAAAATGATAAGTAATGTCACAAGAAGATGAAACATCCACACCAAGTCCGACACTCAACGCTGATATTAAAAGTAGGTTCAACAATAATCTCTAAAAAAACAATAAATCCTCAAGAGAAATTAATTAATTAATTCACAGGGGGATAAAACCAACCTCAAATCCGAATTCAGTGCCAACACACTATCCGCAAATTAAATTCCAAACAAGTTATTATTGGATGTCCAATCCATATGCCCAAGTACAACACGCCGATCAGTCGCTAATAAGCCAATAAAAACTCTACATCAAATCACCAAACAATTTATGTACTCACAGTTTTAATATAGTCAAGAAAGTCTAAAAGTAACCACACTGAAAGAATAGTAATCAACTGATATGTCAAAAACTAACAATGCAGAAAATATATGAAGGAAAAGGGAGACTTTAACAGCAACTACATGAAATCAAACCTCCTAAAAGACGATTAGTAGTAATCAAAACAATAAGAGGACCAATGCTACCTTAACAAAATATTCCCGCAATTCAGAATCAAACTACAGAACAATTAACATAAGATAATCAATTAACATAAGATAATAAGATTGGTACTTAAAGAATTTGGCATTGGAAAAACTAATAGAAACGATTCACAGTAATACACTGGGGACACAAGCTGTGATTTCATAAACTGCGTTTTGTATTTATTTTAAAAATTTTTAATTATAAGTGAAATTCTTAGAGTCTTGCACTATCGTTAAATACGTTCGGATCATCTTCCAATCAACACGAAAATAAACTTAAAATACGAGGAAATAAAAAATGAGTACTATAACTTTAATAAAGCAAACTGGTCTCGCTTTAATAAATATATAAATCGAAATCTTCCCGATATTAGTACCAATGAAATAACTAACACCTCTCAGATAGACTCATTGTTAGATCAGTTTAACTCATGTATAAAAATGGCTATACAAGATTCTGTACCAAGTTGTAAAATTTCACTTCCTATCAAACCACTACCAAGCCATATAAAAAGAACGATACAATTCAGAAACATTTATAGGCGTAACTGGAAAAGATTTAGAGATATAGAAGATCATCGCCAAATGACCCGATTAAATAAAAAAATTAAAAAGGAAATAGAACAGTTCAGAAATGAACTTACCATCATGTTTAATGCCTGTTTAAAATTATGTTACTTTCCTACTGCTTGGAAATTATCAAAAACTATACCAATACTCAAACCAAATAAGAGAGCAGAATGTCCAACATCGTATAGACTAATTAGTTTACTGTCTTCAATTAGCAAAATCTTGGAAAAAAAAAACAATATTCTCCCTGTACAACAATTCGGTTTCAGAAAAGAACACAACACAACTCAACCTCTGTTAAAAATACGCAATCTAGTGAAAAATAACTTTCAATATTGAAAATCTACTGAAATGGTTCTCCTAGATATAAAAGCCGCATTTGATTCCGTATGGCATAATGGCCTTATATATAAATTAAAGAAATTAAAGAGTTTCCTTAATGACAGGTCCTTTAAAGTTTATTTAGGTTCGGTCCACTTCCAACGAACAAATATAAACGCAGGTTGTCCTCAAGGGTCTTGCATATCACCCATTTAATACAACATCTTCACTTCAGATATACCTACTTTTCAAAATTGCATTACATCAATATAGCGCTAACTGATGAACATATTTCATATTTGCTCAACAAAATAAATGTGATGAATAGAATGATGTACCCAATTATAAACAGAAAATCTGAACTTAACTTAAACAACAAAAAATTAATTGTAAAATCAATTTTTCACCCATTATTTTTTTATGGCGCTCCAGTATGGTCGACTTCTACAAAATGTCATATAAATAAACTCCAAATTGCTCATAATAAACTATAAAAATTAATTTATAATCTACCTTGGCATTACTCAACGCAACGTTTACATACTCTCGACAACCTTGATCTTGTACATGTTAAAATTGAAAGACTAACTCATAATTTCCACACAAGATGTCAATATTCCCAGTATAATCACTTAAATGATCTGATACAATCTTAATTTTTTTGCTTTTATTTATTTTACACATAGTTTAAGTTTTTACCTATACCCAGCTTTAAAAAGGTTTTTTGTTAAATTTTTACCTTCCTTTAATAATTATTAAAACATTTTTGTATATATTAAATTTTGAAATAATTGCTAAGTAGAAAATGAACGTAGTTCCTAAACTCTTTACTGTACTAAGCCAATTTTAAAAATTTATTAATGACAAAATAAACACTGAATAAATAAAAAAAAAATAAAAGTGAAATTCTTAATATAAAAGTATACTTTTACTTTTATGTAAACATTTGATTTTACGAAGCTTGATTGACTAAAGGTTCAGATAGTGAAAGAAACGACTTATAATGGTTAAATTATCTAAAAATAAGATTTTGAGAAGATTTCGAGAAGAAAAAGTTTTGAACGCACTTATAGATAACGACAATCCACCGATTTTTGGGCCACCGACCCGTTCTTGGTGGTTAAAAAGGGGTTTAAATATATAAAAATAAGTATATTGATGGATTTGTGAAATAATGCTAAAATAAGTATTTAACACAAAAAGTTCATAAAATCTAAAAAATTTTAAAATTCAATTTGAATTGTAGGTAGATTATTGTAACGTAAGTTTAGATAAAATGCATCCAATCATATTAAAACATCAGAAAGAATATTCTTTGTATTTTTATACACTTCACCAGAATTGTATGTTTTATATCTTAAATAAAAGGTATTTAACACTACTTCCTTATGATACATAGAGTTTACAAGTTTTTTTGATCCATCGTATTTTATTGGTATTTGAAATATTTAGCATTGGACAAAAAAATAAAATAATGAGCTAAAATTTCTTGAACGGCGTTTTTGTACTTATTTAAAAAATTTTAATTGCAAATGATATTCCCAATATCAAAATATACTTTTTCCTAGATTCTTTATGTTAACGTGTGTTTTTTTCAACGCCTTGTTGACCATATGAGCTCTGACGGCTTGGAGCCACGGCTTTCAAATTTTCTTAAATAAAAAGTAAAAACAGTGATGGAATATACTTAACATTGTTAAATTACTTAAAAAATAGTTCTTGAATAGATTTCGAGCCGAAGAAGTTTTGAATCCGCTTAAAGATAAGAATAATCCACCGATTTTTGGCAGATTTTGAGCAATATTTTACATTTTGGCAACTCAAGCCGTTCTTAGTGGTTAAAAAGGCGCTTAAATATCAAAGTATCTTGATGGACAGGTGAAATAAGTTGAATTTGAAACTAAAATTTCAAGAAATGTAAAAATTTCGAAAATTAATTTTAAATTTAGGTATAGTACTGTTTGGGAATTAATACTTGTATATAGACCCAATACGATCTATTGCAACAAATAAAACAGAATGTTCTTAAATTAAGAAAATAAGATATGTTTTTTATTTCATTACCTTTTCTAAGATCTAATACGTTTATTTTATGAAAAAAAATATAAAGAATATTCTTTCTGACGTTTTAATATGATAGGTTGCATTTTATCTAAACTTACGTTACAGTAAACTACGTACAATTCAAACTGAATTATAAAATTTTTTTAGATTTTGTGAACTTTTTGTGTTAAATGTAACTTATTTTAGTATTATTTCACAAGCCCATTAATAAACTTTGGTATTTAAGCATTCCAAAGTATTAGCAGATTGCTAATACTTTGGAATGCTCCAGGAAGATGGTTTATAATGCCCTAAGACATATTCAGAATTATAAAACATTTAAAAATGTTACACAGGCTCCTTGGCCCAGAAAAACTTCACGTAAAGAGGACTCTTTAATATACAGAGCCTCTGTCGAAGATCCTTTTAAGAGCTCCACCATAATCCAGAGAGAAATTTCAGAAAAAATGGTATCAATGTGTCCAGCAGAACGATAAGAAGAAGACTTAATGAAAAAAATGTACGTGGATGCATTTCTCAGCATAAGCCACATGTTTCAAAAAAGAACATAGAAGCTCGGTTGTGCTTTGCTCGTGAGCATTTGGAAAAACCGTTAATTTTTTTTGGAAAATTGTCCTCTGGAGTGATGAATCTAAATTTTGTAGATTCGGGTCGGATGGTAAGAGGTATGTATGGCGTCCTCCGAACATGCAACATAATCCAAAGTACACCAGTAAAACAATAAAACACGGTGGGGGTAATGTGATGGTGTGGCAGCATTTTCTGGGCATGGTGTTGGTCCTATAAAAAAGATTGATACTCGTATGGACCAGTATGTATACCAGAATATACTTCTAAATATAATGATACCTTATGCAGAGGACAACATGCCACTTAGGTGGCGATTTATGCAAGATAATGATCCAAAACACACCTCACGCTTAGTGAGGTGTTGCTTGGAATCGAACAATATAGACGTGTTAAAATGGCCAGATCAATCTCCGGATCTCAATCCTATTGAGAACCTTTGGAATGATGTGGAGCAGCATATAATGAGAGAAAAGCCTAAAAATTTGGCCGATTTATGGAAGGAAGTAGAAAAAGCTTGGAGTGGAATTTCAGTGGATCGCTGTATGGCTCTTGTAGAAAGTATGCCAAGGAGACTAGCAGCTGTGATCAAAAATAAAGGGTATCCAACTAAGTACTAAGTTTTTAGTGAAATAAGTTTTTTTGTTTTGTTAATTTTTTTTAATATGAATAAACATTTTTATTTGTGCTAAAATACTGTCCAGTGGTTATTCTATTCTGGATAGAAAAACGTAAAATATATATAAAGGAATAATGTTGGACATATTAGGACATGATCTTTGAGGGATATGTAACACGCATGCAAAAGAGATAATAAAAAAATAAAAAATAGAGGAAATATTAGCGTTTAAAAATAGCAAGTAGCTAGTGTGCTAACCTCATGGCCACCACTGTTCTTAAAAACAAAACAGTTTAAAAATTAAATTCATTTATTAGTATTTTTCTGTAATTTAAGGCCAGAAAATTACATATATCTAATTTCCCTTAACACGGGACATCTACCTAAGAAATGGAGTAGTGTTTCTTCTTCATTTAGATTGCAGAGCGAACATATTCTGCTTTGTACTGACATGTATGGATTACCATTTAGGCAAAGGAGGTCCCTACGAGTTCTCATTATAATTAATATCAGATTACTGTTAAAGTTCTCATTACAGTACGAGTTTCCTTTAAAATGATCTAAATATACATATGTTCTTCCAGACTTTGTAGAGCAGAAATATGGTAATCATATGTTCACATTATCAAAACCTGTATAACCCCACATTTGAGATCCATAGGATTCGATTGCCCTCACAACTGATAGAAATAAATTCCATTTTGCTTTTAGTGACACATTCCTCTTACCAATAAATTCTTTCCATGTAATATTAATACAAAATTTAGCTGCGTCAATTCTAGAACATATGTGTTTTGTGAATACCATTGTTGATGTTAACAGGAAACCCATATATTTGTATTCATTTACCATTTTGACTTTCTCATTATTAAATTTCCATTTTTCATTTGATGCCAACCGACCACTTTTTCGAAATACCATTATATTTGATTTAGATAAATTTACTTCCATTCCCCAAATCTTACAGTATTTTTCTAAATTTCCAATAATTTTTTGCAAAGTACATATATGTATATTGTTCGACAACACAACAATATCATCTGCGTACATTAGCACTCTTATATTTGTATTAGCTATAAATAGACCACCACCCAAGTTATCATGTAGATCATTTAAATACATTGCGAATAGTAATGGAGATAGTAAACATCCCTGAGTTTGTAACAAAGTACTCTGAGAGCTCTGTCCCAGTCCACACAGCAGATTTGGTACATTTATATGCGTTTTCAATAAAATTTACTATTTTTGTAGCAATTCCTAATTGATAGAGTTTATATATTAAGGATTTTCTTGGGACACAATCGAAG